AGGAAGGAAGGAAGGAAGGAAGGAAGGAAGGAAGGAAGGAAGGAAGGAAGGAAATACTTTATTATAACCAAAGGCCAGCCAGATAACAAGTTCAGCAACTGAGCAGTAATGTAAAAGTAGTAAATGGTGAAAATAAGCTGTTGATTTTCATGACAAAATTCAAGAAATCATTTGCTGAAAATTAATGTATATATTGGAAAATGCGACCTTGAACATTTGGGCCCATCACCTATTCTGGTTCTACAGTAGCCCATAAAATAAATTTCCATTTTTGTCAGCACTCTCATTACAATACCAGCTGCAAAAAAGCAAAATTGGGAAGATTATGCTTAGATTACTGAGTCCTACTTTGCTCATATCTAATAAGAGCATCTTGATTTTAGATTTGCATCAGTTATTGGATCTTTCAGTTTATTTCTTTGTTGTGCTACTCCCATTATTAACCTTATTATTAGCCTCATTATTACCCTGAGACCTATGCATCCTTAAAAGTAGGGCTGACAGTTGTTCTAGCATTTGTAAAGTTAAGCAGTGCTGGATCAAGTTATTACTTTGATGGGAGACCACCAGGAAATCCAAACCAATTAATTTAGGTAGTTGAAAACTATATCCTGGAGGGCAACAGTGGTAAACCACTTCCATGTTGCTAAGAAAACTCAATGGAAGTGCTCACAAAGTCTCAAGTAACTGAGCTTGACTCAAGGGAGTCTTTATCTTTACCTTACTGGTAGCTATAGTAATAAAATATATCCAACTCTTACTGATTCCCCGCCCCCTTAGGAATGTCTCTAATTATAATTAATGTCCAGGAACAAAAGATTGGCATCTCTTGTACTTGTAAAAAAGGAGATGAAAAAGGAAACAAACATGAACAATAACTTTTTTAAAAAAGAGAAGCTTAGCCCAAGAAAGGTGTCTTTGATGAAGTGAGAGAAATCAGAACGAAACACCTCTCTCAAGGGAGTCCGTGCATTTGCAACCTTTGATTATACAGGATTCTTTTTGTTTTCTTCCAGGAATGAATTTACTGCTGTTCCTCAAAAAAGAGACCTCTTAGCAGCTGAGGTAGGTTATACCTCAAAAGGAAGAAGAGAAAAGGCACACACACACACACACGCCCATTTGCCTACTAGGGGTGCTTCCTATCTCTACAATGAAGTCTTTGTAAAAAAGAATAGAAATAGCTATATCAAGGCAGGAATGAGTGGAGTAGTTTTTCCATACTGTACCTATCTTCCTGCAATTGTCACAATGCAAACCTACATTCAGCTGTCCATTCATTCTTTGTAAATAGCTTATTGAATTAATCACCCTATCACACTAAGTGGCGCACACATAAAGTAGAAAAAAGGCATCTTTCATGTTATCTCTTTTGTGAAAGCAGACAAAAAAGGCTGAAATTTTGTTAGCGCTTGGCAAAATGCACAATCGAGAAACAGTAGATGAGTTCTCTTTCAGATGCTGTTACTGTGACAGTTCTATCTGGTTCCACAATAGATTCCCAGGAACAGATGTTACACTTGTGAAAAATCTTCTCGCTATTTCAGTGCCTCATTTAATTTGAGATAGGTGAAGACAGAGCAGCCTTCTGATATCAGTTTCAGGATGGCTTAAATGTGTAAGTAGTTTAATCTTCAGCTATTTTATCTTTTATATGAGTGGGACAAGAAAAATGTCTGGGCCAGCCTTGATGGCAGGGCCAGCCCACATCATATGGTGCCTTCATTCCACATTCAGCCAGAACGTGTAATGTTCCTTCAACCCTGGTGGTTGATTCTTGAGTATTACTTCAACCTGGTGATGGGATTGTTTCTTCCACCCAAGCATAGGTTAGCAAGAAGGCTTAGAACATGCAGGACAGGCATCCATTCATAGCTCTGTCCACTCACGTCTTGCTTCTCTTCCCCAGGACCTGCTGCCTGCAGTGAGGGCTTTATTTTGCTGGCAAGGCAGGTTGTGTTGCAACAGAACTCCACACATCTAAGTGGAACTGCTGACTGGGTTAATATTCTGCAATAAATTGTAACATGGTTTACTTGTTTCAGGCACAGCATTTTGTACAAATTGTGGTTTATTCAATAAGCAGTAGTTGTGGTTTAGAAAGATCTGTGAACTAAGTCAATGCAGTTAAAATGCAAGAAACCCCAGTGAAATTTCACTGACGCTGCAAATTCCAGAAATCTGACTATATACTAGCACTACATTTTTATCTGTATTTCAAATATGGAATAACATTTCATTTGTAATATAAGAATTATATGTCTTAAATGCCTTCACTTTTGTGGTGTTCAGCATTAGTGGGTCTCTCTTATTTTCCTGATATTTAATGAAATTATATTTGAATTCATTGTTAACTAATCAAGAACTTTGAGCTTCCCCCAAGAACAGTCTCTATATAAATTTAAGGTAATATGCTTTTTTACAATTAAATTATAATTTGTACGGTTATAAGATTTGCTGATTTGTTTTTGATTTGGATACTCGTGAATGTTTTGCGTGTTTTTTCCCCCTTCTCATAGACAACTGGTATTTCACCATATGTTCATGATATCTTTTCTCAGGCTCAGAATTCATCAGGAGGTCAGTAATCCAGCTACCTATAATTAAAGATATTTGTATAATTTCCATGGGTTTCTTACAGCTGTTACAGCAAATATTTGACAATTCCTCTATTTTAATAGTCCAAAGAAAGTTGCAACAATAGGTGGTTTATTGATGTGGGAGATCAAATCTAGTTTTCTACCAGAGGTAGAATAAGATAGCTTCCTTCCATTCCACACCCATACAGCAAATCAACTGGGGTGGATTTTTAATTTAATATTGACAGCAAGAACAAAAGTGACTCTATACCTGGGGCCCCAGATCTATTTCCCAGTATTTATTTGTTTATGGGTTATGGTTATGGGTTAAGAAATAGAAACCCAGTCATTAAACTGTGTTCCAAGGCAGTAAACAGACAGTATAATAAAATGTACCCATATTCATCAATCCATAAATTGGGGGGAATGAAAACTGAACTCTTCACAAACTCATCAGTCAGCTTTGTTACTTTCTGTTTCTACCATCTCAGTCTGCCTGATGTTAGAGCCAATTTTCTTTATTAGGTCTTTGCTGATTGTTCTTGATTGCTGGATTAGCCATTTAACTCGCAAATTTATGTGCAGCTGCAGGATTGACTTTAGTGTATGGGATAACCTGTTACCTTTGGATGAAAAATGCTTTCAGAGATTTCACTTCTGAGCGAACTTTTCCAGATGTTGAAAAAAGGAACTAAATATGTGTTTCACCTTATTTGTGAGAAAGAATTAATGTAATTTGTTACTTGTGGATTTTTTGCAGAAATAAAAGTACCAAGGGATCCTGTTTCTCACTTTTTAAGAAGTGAGAAGAAACTTGAGAAGCTTATATGGATAAGAATAAACTTAAGAGAAAGCTAGCTATAGGATGGTGTATATTTATTTTGGGGGATCTTTCTCAACCCATCATTCTTCAGATGTCCAGAACTGAAACAGGTCTGGGGGGTATCAGGGCCTGTTTAGGAAATTCTTCTAATTTGAGCCCTTACTGACACCCCTGCCTGTTTTTCTATCCAGGTTCTTGCCCTCAAGATTGTCTTAATGGAGCCGTTTGCACAAAGGCAGGAATTTGTGACTGCGAGACATTTCAGGCACAGGGAGAGCACTGCCAAATCAGTAAGTTCCAGGAGAAGGTGTGATACACTTTTATCGGAGGCACATTGCAAAAGGATTAGATGTCATATTTGAATAATTCAAGCTAGCACCTTGCATTGATATAAATATTGCAAAGCCTAAATGCAACTTGTAACTCTGGTTCTTGTTGAGCCTAGAGATTCTTTTAAACTGACTGGACCTCTAGGATTTTTAAAGGTTTTAAAAGAGGCTTCAGGTGTTTGGGATTAGTTAAATTGATGTCAGTCCTTCAAGGTAGCCCAAGTCAGGAAACAGACTCCCAAGAACTGGTGTAATTCTATTTTATTAATGTAGGACATAATTATTACAGAATCTTAAAAGTCTGCCAGAGTTTCCTTTTGCCCTCTCTAATACCATATAGAATCAAGGTGGGGTTATTTTGAGTCTCTTTCTTATGTTTACTACTTTCCCAGGGCTGAGATTTCATTTACAGACTCTTTCATGAGTTAATGGCTCTTGCATTCCTTCCCCAACATTATCTCTGCCCCACTTTTATAGCTGAATAGATGCACAGTATCAGTCACTGGGGCCATGTGCAACACAAAAGCCTTGAGTTCAGCCCCCAAGACTTACCATTAGAACAATTACTAATTTGTATTTCAATAGAAGTGGGAAATTGTTTAATATGTCACAGGACAGTATTAAAGAAAACAATATGGAAGTTTTAATTCTGGTTTTCTCTAAGTTTTAGTTATGGCGCCAATCACTTTTGGAGAAACCTGCCCAGCACACAATTCAGAAGTTGAAAGTTATCCTCATCCTGGAAAAGGTTTTAGAATATACAGTTAGCCTGCACTAAGAAATCATATTCAAAATAGTTGTGCTTGATTCCTACTCCTTCATGCTTAGATTCTGAGATGAAAGTATAGGATTGTATTTGCTACATTATAGGTTTATCATTCATCCATTTTAGTAACAGAGGCATCTACGGAGGGGTGGCAATTGACAAAGGCAGTATTGTCTGTTGTGATGCAAACCTGGTCCCTTTTTTATTTACATTATGATGTCAGACTCACATACAAGACAGAGGAGTTTGTGGTGCAATGATACAACGCTGCTTTCATCAGTTTAACAATCCTTTCACAATCCTGCAAAAGCCTCTGCTAAGAATGCAATTCCATTTTTATTCTGAACAAAGCACAGATAATCATCGATATTTTTCTCTGCATCAGTGTTTCCATGCCCCTGCAACATCCTGAAGAAGCAAGATGAAAAGTTGCCAGCTTCTTTGAAAGAGGCAGCTACTGCAGAAAATATTCAGGAAGTTAATCTAGTTATAATATTATTTAGTTATACTCTAGTATAGAGTATGACAGGTAGATTCCTGTCATAACCATGGATCAGCATTCAGTTGATCCAGGAAAAAAAAAAGTGGACCCTGCAGGAAAACAGAAGGAAGGAAGGAAGGAAGGAAGGAAGGAAGGAAGGA